ATAGCAATCGTGATTAAGAAGCTGTCAACCCACCTAAAGCTTACAAGGTTTCCCTTTTTATAATCAGTCATGCCAAAACCTACTTGTCAAAGTGCTTGCAATCCCCAGTTTTGGCAAACCCCCGTAAAACCAGATTAAGTCAACACTGGTGATGCAGGAGCAAGAGGGGAGACTAGGGATTGAAACAAAATACTGAGATTCAATTCCAGTTTGAGGTTCAGTCAAAAAGCATCAGCCAATGCTGCAATTTTATATATATCCAAAAGAGCTGAAAGCCTGTGGCATTCAAAGCAGCACAGCTCTCATGTGATCTCTGTGTAATCTGGGGAAAGAGGAACAGAAGAATCAATTCCACTGAGCCAAAAAAAATGGCACCCAGCCATTACATAAAAGCCCATTTTGTAAGGAAGGTTTTCAGTGATGGTGCATTTGGATCATTTTGGTTAAAGTGATACTACCAGGTTCAAAATCACCCATATCTTCCATGACCCTAACATTTCAGATTATTTAGAACTGAAAGGGTATGTAAGTGACATTTATTTTTCATTTTGCTGCTTTTCTTTCTCTCTTACACTGTACTGGGTTTGCATGAGGAAGACAAACAGGTCACTTTCACAATCAGCTTCTCACATGCAATGATGGCAGGGCTGCAAAGGAGTATGTTTAAATCCAAACAAAAAAAGGTGATTTATGTCACTATTCAGGGCAACTACACATGTATTCCCCCTCTGTGATTCAGTAAGGGCACCAATTCTCAGGCTTCCAGTTCCCCAGCCATCACCTCTAATGGGTGGAGACATGCATTTCTCCCCCTCCTGAGTTTTTTCCAGGCTGCACAGTTCCCTGCCTACACTGTGATATATCCCCAGCAATGGAGATTGCCTCAGCAGGCCTGGTTTGCTTTCCTTCCTCAGAGGTTATAAACAGTATGATTACCTACATTTAAGTTACCACACAGCTCTTTCTAAGCAAGCACATTTATTCTTAAGGTAAAAGCATTACACAGAAAACATTAAATACAATGAAAAACCCTTAAACAGACTTGCCAATAAGCTTACCAGAGGTCACTCCAGCTCCCACAGGGACTGTGTCAGGTGAGCAGTCCTTCAAACCCTATCAAGGGTTTTTTTTCCTGTGGTCACAAGTCCATAACAGCTGTTAGCTCAGAACAAGCACCCTGATGAATGAGTGAGTGCCTTGGGTCTTTGATCCTGGGAATAGGTAATTCATATACAATGGGGTTCCTCTCTTTGCTTCAAAAGGATGAGTCCAGAGATGGGCATTTGCATTGCCCTCCACCCAAGTATTTCCTAGGAAACCCACTCAACTAAAAATTCCTTCTGGTCTGGACTATTGTTTAAAAGAGTCCTTTGAAGCTTATAACAACAACACTTTCCAGGTTTACATTAGTCACATCTTCCCCTTAGAGAACATACATACAATCCCACAATAATACATAAACATTCACATTTTAATACCATGAGTGCCTAAGATACTTAAACTTAATTTAATAAGGTTTGTCCAGGATATTGCAGGAAATTACCACATCTGTCACAACTTAGTTTTAATTTTCATTGGAAAGTTTCTACTCCAATTCTAAGTTCTCTGTGTTTGTACTGCACCTAGCACAATGGGGTCCTGGTCCATGACTAGACCTCCGAGGTGCTACTGCAATACAAACAACAATTAATATAAATTTATGATTTTTTTTAAATAAATAAAACCCTTTTGGGTCTAAGCCATCTGACCCTTTAAGGCTCCAACAGCTATTTCATTACAGCCCCCGATTAAGAAGATTACCTTAAATATGAATTTACACCATAGACCACGGTGGGAACATTGGGGAAGAGAAAATAATTTTAATGAATATATTTGCACATGATTAAATATAGGCAGGCTTATTACAGCTACCATCTCTCCATGTGTCTGTACTTTAGCAGTCAGCATTCCTGGGCAGCTGTTATACACCTTCATGGCTTGAGGCACTGATCCCAGGCAGATGAGACCTGTTCACACAGTAGCACCAGCATCAGCTCTGCTGGAAGCTGTTCACCTGCAAAGCTGGCTGGCTGGCTGAATTGCACAATGGAGATGACTAGGATGGGGAAAGACAGAGCAATGAGAGAATAAACAGCAGCCCTCCAGGTGAAAAACACTGGGTATATCTAGCACCATACTTTTCCAAGATTGGAAACCTGCTGTGTCAATAGAAAGGGAGAGCCCAAACCCTGATTCCTGGCACAAGATTAGCACAAGCACTCACCCCCTTCACAGCAGAGAACTTTGCAAGCCCCACCCTGAAATCCAGTTCTTGTGATATAACTGATGGATCAGGATCTCCATTCACAAATCCACCAGCTCTGACAGCCAAGGGCCACTTCAATAGTTGGAAACAATTTTTTATTGCAGATTTAAAAAGAAAAAAAAATAGAACAAATGCAGTATGAGTCTCAACCCTCTGCTCCTGAGAGATGCATTTTAAACCTTCCAAACAGCCTTAAAATGCTGCCTTATTAAGTGAAGATAAACTCAAGTAGTTGGGCACAGAGAGAGAGAGAGAATGGGGAGCACAGAGAACCTGCACTACTTTAAGAAAAGAAAGAAAAAAAAAAGTGTTGGGCAGGATGGCCGGGGGGGAATTTACATGGAAAAGGAAGCTAATCCAGAGTAACATTTATTGCAGCAAGCTTATTCATAATACTTAGCATTTCTAATTAGCTTTACACACTAATTTATCCTCACAGCAGCCATATGTGGTATGAAGTTACTACCCCCATCTTACAGATACAGAAAACTGAAGCACAAAGAAAATCAGTGATTTGCCTCAGGTCACACAGCAATAGAACCGGAGTTTGAACCTAGAAATCCTGATTCCAAGTCTGGTGCTCTAACCATTAGATCAAGTTGCATGTATTTATATTTCAAAAGCCTTGACGATGGCCCTCAGAAGTGAGTTGTCAGGGGTTCCCCATGGACTCCCCCAGGATCTATCCTTTTATTTCATAACGGTGCCCACTGTTGCAGCATCCAATATTCTCCTCAAGATTAAACAACAGGTCACAACAGGCTGCCAGCCCTACATTTTCCTCACTATTTCCTCTGCAGCCACAAGGGCTTTGTATTTTACCCCTTCACTTTTGCATTTAGCCTTCACCCCCCTTTCTTCCTCCTCGCTGTATTTAGGTGTGCCTTTGGGAAGGCTAAAGCGATGAAGTAAGTTTTATGCTTTTCTCCGTGGGGGTGCTCTAGTGGGACTGGCTGTGAAGCCCAGTCTCCTGCACTCGAGGCCGACAGCTTTATCACTGCTGAGGAAGGTCATCATGGTCATGGAGTGAGAGAAACCCTCCAAATTACCTAGGGAAGGCCTTGAGAATTAGGACAGAGTTTGAATTAGAGCTGGTATTCTACAGGGAGCCTGTACAGTAAGCAAAGCACAGGGGTCATGTGCTGGCTGATGCTTCAGGTGAGACTGGGTGTTCTGGACTAGGAAGACTTTTTGTCACTGCTGGAGTACTCATATGTCCTTTGCGTTACAGTCGTCAGGCAGGGAGGTCATGTCACAAAGGCATGGCGCACCATGGCCCACTGAGCATCCAGCAGGGATGCGGGAGGGGAACTCTCATCTAGCCAGTCTCAGGTGAAGGAAGCATTCTTCACAGCTGTGATCTATTTAAGCATCAACAAGAACCCAGACAGACTCCTCCCTCCCCCCCCAGCTATCAAGCATTTTAACAAGCCAGGGACTGACTCCCTCCATACAAGGTAATGCATCCAAAGCCTTTCTGTGGACATGGGTAAAAAAAGATGGCACCATGCACTTTCTGGCACTCTAAACACAGTATGCAAAGCACCCACATACCATGAGATCTAGGTTTGCCCGTCTCAAGGGTGCACTGTTCCAAGTGGGTGAGAACTGGTTTAAGGTCCTGTCAAGAACCCATGCTGCAATTTCCTCCCGTCTCAGCTAATAAATCTTGTGGCGGTCTGCTTTTCCTGAATCCAAACTTTATGAGCTGAATAAACTTTATGGAATGCTTGGCTGCCAAGGCAGCCAAGACCTGGAAACTTGATGCTTGACCCCTGCAATGCACAACTGGCTGATAGCCTTTTGCAGAGTGGCTAACAGCAGTTTCTACACTTTAGAAAGAGATCTCTCATGGGTCCATTTCCACCACCCCATCACTCGGATCTCCTATTGCTTGGCTCTTCAAACTTTTTTTTTTTTTTTTTTTTTTTTTTTTTAAATTCAGCTGACCGTCAGGACCCTTCCCCAGGGTGATTCACAGACCAGAGTATGAGAAGCAGTGGCTTAGAGCCACCCTGTCATCCCATTGCTTTTCCACTTCTGCTTCTAATGGCCACATTCCCTTGGTGTCTTGCTAACATGCCTACAAAGCTACAGCAATTTGAGCACAAATTCAGCAAGTCTTTGAGATGCTATCTTATATTTCAAAACAAACTACAGTGGAATTTCCTTAAAGCAGGGGCCACCCAAACATTTCCATGGTGTGGACCACATTTTAACAGACTGTCTTGTGGATACCTCCCTGTCAATTCACGACATACCTGTGGCTACTTTAGCAAGTACTTACATGGAAAAGCAGTATCAGTAAGAGTTTTGATATATTTCTAGCCATCTATTAATCCAGTTTTGCAGCAAGAAACAAAGGGGAAGAGAGCCAGTATCATGTGATAAGACATGAGCTCTCCACAGATCACCAGCAAGTGCTCCACAGGCCAGAGTTTGGGAACCTATGCCCTGAAGCTAGTTTATTGATCAAATTAAAACAAAAAGACTGATCAAGTTGCAAGAGCCATCACAGGGAGATCCATTTTCAAAGCCCAAATTGCAATGCCAATAATCCAGACATCTCCACAAGCAACGAGAAAGGAGTTTAATCAGGCTGCAATCCTAGTACATGTCTCAGATTACATTAGGGATGTCTCCTCCCTGGGGAGATTCAACCTGATCATCTGCAGGGTGAGGTTCTTGCACGTACCTTGGAAATGAGTTCATCGTGATTGGCAAGATGAGCCCTGCAGTGAATGCAGCTGTAGGTTCTGTGGCATGAAGGCAGATATGCCTGGAAAGTCTTGGACCTCGTCATCTTCACCATTGGAGCCACTGAATGCTGCGTAAACTCTGGGGTAGCCCAGGAGGCGCTCCCACAAGAAGGGTCGCACGGGAAACAGCGGAAGACACAGGTAAAGGCCGTGGTTTGGTAGGTGATGGGTGTGGGGCAGGCTCCACACACTGGTGATGGCTTCAGAGGATGAGATTCTGGTAGAGGCAAAGGGTGGATTCACATGGACCTAAGTTTAGAAACAAAAGAATAAATAATATAGCTAATAGCTTCAAATTCACACCAGACAAACAGACTTGACATGCAGACACTACCTGGGAAGGTGACTTCCAACAATGGTAGAGTTTGGATAATGGTCTATTGTTAGAGCATAAGGTCCATGGAGGAGTTAGAAGAAGGCTACAGTAAGAGGGACTCAGTTCTATTCCCGGCTTCATTCCTGACCACTGACCTGCTGTCAGATCTTGGTCAACTCGCTTCTTTCTGCATTTATTCCTATCTAAGGTACTTATCTGGCCCCTTTACCACAGTATCTGAGCAGCTCACAGTCTAATGTAGTAAAGAACAAAACTGTCAGACACACAGATGAACATAATTTGTTGGGGAAGAGTCAACATGGTTTTTGTAAAGGGAAATCATGCCTCACCAATCTACTAGAATTCTTTGAGGGGGTCAACAAGGGGGACCCAGTGGATATAATGTACTTCGATTTTCAGAAAGCCTTTGAAAAGGTCCCTCACTAAAGGCTCTTAAGCAAAGTAAGATGTCATGGGATAAAAGGGAAGGTCCTCTCATGGATTGGTAACTGGTTAAAAGATAGGAAACAAAGGGAAGGAATAAATGGTCAGTTTTCAGAATAGAGAGGTAAATAGTGGTGTCCCCCAGAAGTCTGTACTGGGACCAGTCCTATACAAAATATTCATAAATGATCTGGAAAAAGGGGTAAATAGTGAGGTGGCAAAATTTGCCGATGATACAAAATTACTCAAGACAGTTAAGTCCCAGGCAGACTGCGAAGAGCTACTAAAGGATCTCTCGAAACGGGGTGACTGAGCAACAAAACGGCAGATGAAATTCAATGTTGGTAAATGCAAAGTAATGCACACTGAAAAACATAATCCCAACTATACATATAAAATGATGGGGTCTAAATTAACTGTTACCACTCAAGAAAGATATCTTGGAGTCATTGTGGATAATTCTCTGAAAACATCCACTCAATGTGCAGTGGCAGTCAAAAAAGCGAACAGAATGTTGGGAATCATTAAGAAAGGGATAGATAAGAAGACAGAAAAGATCATATTGCCTCTATATAAATCCATGGTACACCCACATCTTGAATACTGCGTGCAGATGTGGTTGCCCCATCTCAAAAAAACGTGTGTGTATGTATATATAGAAATTAGAAAAGATTCAGAAAAGGGCAACAAAAATGATTAGGGGTATAGAACAGCTGCCATATGAGGAGAGATTAATAAGACTGGGACTTTTCAGCTTGGAAAAGACGACTAAGGAGGGATGATCGAGGTCTATTAAATCATGACTGTTGTGGAGAAAGTAAATAAGGAAGTGTTATTTACTCCTTCTCATAACACGAACTGGGGTCACCAAATGAAATTAATAATCAGCAGGTTTAAAACCAACAAAAGGAAGTATTTTATCACACAATGCACAGTCACCATGTGGAACTCCTTGCCAGAGGATGTTGTGAAGGCCAAGACTATAACAGGGTTCAAAAAATAACTAGATAAATTCATGGAGGATAGGTCTATCAATGGCTATTAGCCAGGATGGACAGGGATGGTGTCCCTAGTCTCTGTTTGCCAGAAGCTGGGAAATGAGTGACAGGGGATGGATCACTTGATGATTACCTGTTCTGTTCATTCCCTCTGGGGCACCTGCATCAACCACTGTCGGAAGATAGGATACTGGGCCAGATGGACCTTTGGTCTGACCCAGTATGGCCATTCTTATGTGTTTATCCTCATAACACCCCTCTGGTGCTATGGAAGGGCTATTATACATGTTTTATAGATGGGGCACTGAGACACCAAGAGAATAATTGACTTGCCTAAGATCACACACAAGCCTGTGGGAGAGTGCGGAATCAAAGTTTCCCAAGTCCCAGGAAAGTGCTCTACCCACTAGATCATCCTTCTTCTCTTCCTACCCCAGTTTCCCCATGTGTAAATGGAGAATTAACAAAATATGCCCACCTTGTACATATTGCAAGTTCCAAAGAGGGAAGCCACTATATAAGTGCAAGATACCATTCTAGTGCCTTGCCCCATAAACATCAAGAAGTGGCTATGCCTAGGTGAAAGGGGAATTGTTAGGCATGTGACCAATCACTGTGAAAACACTTTTTACTATCCAATGTATTTAATGTAACCAGCTCAGAGCACAAGAACTTTCAGCAACTCCTACATCAATATGTTATACAGTATATAAAAATCATTTCTTTGTATCTTTAGAGGGTGGAAAGAACATACCCCATGAAGGGAGCAGCCCTCTCCATCCCCCTCCCTCCCCCCCAAAAATTACATGTGTGTTCTAGAAATTAATTGAGGACTCTGACTGCTCCTCCCAAGAGGATTTTTCCTTTTCATAAAACATGTGATTTTGTTGTTCTCCTCCTGAATTTGCTCTTTGTGGGTCAGACAAATACAGCAAGATTTATTTATTTCTCACAATAAGCTGATTTATAATGGAAATTCCTGAGTGAACCAAACAAAGCTGCACAAGAGATGGTCTCTACACTGGCAGTAGTAACTCGCCTGAAGCATAGCTTGGTGATCTAGGCTGGATTTATTTATTTAAAATGGCTCAGTACTGCGGTATATTAAGCCAGTTTTGCTAGTGCTCAGATGGATGTGCTGTACTACATCAATGACCAAAAACATGGTAGGGGTGGGAGGGACAGAGAGTCGCTGGATCTGGACTATTCTAGGCAGCTGCATCGCTCTCTTACACTTGCAAAAAGGCTGAATTGTCTGAACAGCATGTAGAGAAATCATGAAGCTATTCAGAAAGCAGAGGTAGAGGCTTCAGTAGGAATGATATAAAACAGAGGGGGGCACCCAGCTTGGGAGGTCTCTTATGTTCCCTATAGCTCTGCTTACTGCTGATGATAAGTTAAAGCAGGTCAGTGCAATGGGGCAATTCCCTTAGAGGGGAAACGGAGAAGCCAGTTAAACGTTTACAACCCACAAAGCCAATCACCATAACCACTGATTGCTAGAGAGCCCTCCCCGGGCCCACATTCAGGACAATGGGTAAAATCTGCAAAAGTGCCTACATGATTTAGACATCTATTTTCAAAGTACTTAAGCTCCCAAGTAACTGCTGAAAACAGGCCTTAAGTACCTAAGTCATTTAGGCTCTTCTGAAAAATGTATCCACCATATCTTCCCTGCCATTACCAACATCTAAAAGCAAAGCATTTTACTTGCAACCCTTATAGTAAATAAATACAATGTGCATCTAATAACTACACAAGGAAAGTTCTAAGAAGCTCACCAATGTATGCTAAATGCAACACATGGCAAGGCCAAGGAATGATGATTTAATAGGACTGGGGAGTGCCCCGAGGTAGATATTTATTGATAAGAAATCAGTTCGAAAACTAATCAGAAATGTGGTCTCTTTGGATAGTGTCACCTCCTCTTGTGCTCCCTGAAACATTTTTTCTCTTCCCCGCCGGGCCCCTCACACAGAGCTGCCCTGAGTGACTGTGTGCGCGTGACAGGATTCTTATCCACTCTGCAAACTGCTGATGAGGCAGATCTATCATCATCATACTACTCAGCAAAAACAGACTAATCAGATTAGTCCTTTCACATTAAAAATAAAGGGAACCTGGTGAGAATTGTTCTAACACAGAGACGCAGCTTTGAAATCCCATAAGACCTGATCCAGCTCTCAGTGAAATCAATGGGAGTCTTAGTTAGAGCCCTGCAATTCCACGGATATCCGCATCATATCTGCAGGGCATGTCTGCGGATCGCGGATGGATGTGGATGTGGATCCGGATCCAAATTTTGTATCTGCAAAGGGCTCTAGTGATGGTGGCTCTGCAAACTGCCTACTTTCTCAGTGCTGTAAACAGAGTCACAGCTCTGAATTAAAGCAGTCAACAGGGCCTGTCTTTTGTCACAATTCAGAGGAATGAGAGCCACGCACACAAGGACTTTCAAGACTGAGATTGTGTTGGGTTAGAGAGCACTGGTTTCACTCTACAGTGAAAAGTGCTTAGGGGGTTATATGCTCAGACCTGAATTTAGGATTAAGATTACATGATGACAGGAGCAAGACAGGTAAACATATAGAGGAATCGGTTCTTTGCTCCCTATTCCTTTGATGTAGGCAAGTGCAACAAGTTCCCAACTGTCCTTAATTAACTGAGCGCCAGCATTCATGGTCATAAGACAACAGAACCACCCCAAAATTCCAAACTCCTGATTCAGTATTTGATACTAAATCCTAACTAACAGATCTTGGAGCCCAAAATGTGTGAGCCATGCACCTTGCTAGCCAAGAGCAGGAAAGCAGGAGACAAAATGTGCTCTTACTTGGGCCAAATGCAGTTGGATTCCAAGGCAAAGAACCAAGCCCAGTCAGAAAGGAACAGAGTAGTGAAAAGACCAGCTGGAGGAAAGCGACAGAGGTAAAGACTGGCAAGTGCTTTACCTTATTTCCAAGGTTTATACAGCAGCCGTCTGGCTTCTCATCCTGATTGCTTTTAAAATCATGTATGTAAAAGAGACAGTGTAACTTTATCTCTTACTTCTTTTCTGCAGGAACGGTGGGGAATATACTAAGGGGTGGGCTGTTTTGTCCTTCTCCCTCCCATACCCTAAAGCCAATTCAGATCTCATTTCTGACTGACCCCTGACACAGCAGCACTGGCTCTGTACTGCACCATTAGTCAGAAAAAAAGCAGCCAGTGAAGTGTCTCAACCAAAAGGGATGCGTAAACGATGTCTAGACAAAACCTAGAGGAAACAGTCATGATGATCTCCTCTGTTAGTTGCCTACTCTTCCTACCCAGGGTCATTGAGCAATGGCACATAGGAACCACAATTAGAATGGGGAGATATCATAGGCACCTTTAAGGAGAGATTGGCCCAGACACACCTGTGTCATAATTAATTAGTTGCTTCCTACCCTGATCGGGGCTGGATTAAAGCAGGTCAGGTGATAGT